CTCTCTCTCTCTCCTGCTGTTCCAGCTGGGGAGCAATAGATGGAATGGGGCAAGTCTCCCACCTGGTGGGAACTCAAGGGCCAGATGAATAAAACCCCAATAGGCTGGATGCAGCCCGCAGGCTATAGTTTGCTCACCTCTGCTCTAAGATGATGGGAGAGGGCTTTCCCACTGGGGTAATTAATCCACCTCCCAGAGACCTAGTGGCTGTGTCAGCAGGAGAAGCCCTCCAGCTAACATATCTCTTTCTACACAGAGGGTTTGGCTAATATAACTATGTTGCTAAGAGGTGTGAATTTTTCATACCCAGGCCAAGGCCAAATTTAGGGGCAGGCAACTGCCTAGTGTGCAAGGTGAAGGAGGAAATGTGCACTGAGCTTGGGAGTACTGATTTTGTTAGTGACAAAAGGGAAACTAGAATGTTTGAAGTGCCATGTTTCAAGTATTCTGTATTTGGATTCACCTCCCAGAATGTTCTGGGCCTTTGTAAAAACCTGTGGCACCTTCCAGAGTCTGAGAACTACATTTTCCTTGAACCTCTTTTAGAATGTTGTCAGCCATGCCCTCACGTGTATACGAAGGGACAGGGCATCACTAGTCAGTGAGATACAAGAATGGCGTAAATTGAGAGCCTAACTGTGATACCGTGAACCTTGTTTTATTGTGCAATTGTGATGTGCTTACATTTTAAGACTTGAAAAAAAATAGTGACTAACAAAGGGCATATTTAATGACATACCAGAGATATCTGTCAAACCCCTATCGACACAACAATAGAAAAGAAATACCTTTACTTCTTTCCTCATTTTTAATAACCAACATTGATGGCTTTCTTTGACGGTGGAACAGATTTCTTGCTGTCCCCAATACTGTCCAAGGCAGCTTGGTTACCAGGGCAGATGTGAAGTGATGGGAAGTTTGGAAGAAATTTCAAGAGGTTGTTATTTTGCTTGCTCGCTGATGTTGTTTGAGTGTCCATCAAAGAAAGATTTGGACAAAAGAACACCATAAGAGACTTTGGGGTTTTTGTATGACCGTAAGTTACCAGCAGATAGGAAAAACACTTACAATTGTACGCACCTTCACTAGAGGCTCACACATAGGGAATGTTCAGACATCATTGATAAAGACCTCTATGTTAAATTGGAGAACACCACACTCTGCAACATGGAAAGCTCTCCACTCCAAGTTCCAAAACTGTTCTGGGTCCTATCTGTTTTCTCTATTGACTGTCAATTAACAGTGATTTTAAAACTTGAAAAGGCTATTTCCCAAATATCACCCACACTTTCCAGAATACTCCTGCAACAAGTTGAATGAAAAACTTAACATATTGTACATATCAACACAACACTTAGGACTGTATGTCAGACATAGCTACTTACTGAAGACCTGAAAGATAGAGCAACATATCTCAAGAATTTACACAGGCAAAAATCAGCATCTCCCAAGAAACCACAATACATTAATCCACATTATTTTGCTGGGCTAGGAAGCAGATATTTTTCCAGAGTGTATTCTACACTTGCTTAAAGAAAAGCATAATTAAAAAGCAATTTAAATTACAGTACTTCTGAAAAGCTAAACACATTCCATTAAGCCACACAACTGCATTATAGCAGATTTTTGTTTAGAAAACTCAAACCTATAGAGTGAAAAGGTCCAGTGATGTTTAACTTCTTCCCTAATCAGACATCCACAACTGTGTTAGTGTTTATATAGGGAAAAAGAATGAGCAAGTTTACAGTGACCCCTTATCTACCTAGGAATAAACTGCAGATAAAGTTACATTACGTGAACTGTGTTTGACCTCCGTCAAGACAAGTTCCTTGCCTTCTCTTTAGTCTCAACTGCAAGTTAATTTTCAGTCTCAAATGGCACAA